TCACAAATATTTGGAAGAATTACAAAAATGTTATCATTTAGTGATTCATAATTTATGATTTTTGACGCAAAAGTTTTTGATGCATAACACCAAAAAACCAAAAAAGTGATGATTGTTGTCGTTTGGAGAATTCCATTCGAGAAGGTTTCTTTCATAAAACAAACGGGAAAATTGAAAAACCTTGCATTTTTTTGAGAGTCATCCACCTGCATCATCACAGCATGCATGCATTTCACTATGATCATACATGTTTGATCGACGACATTTAACTTGACTTGAACCAACTTGATATGTGCCATAGTGATTTAGAACATGAGCAGTAATAAAATTATATGCTCTTTGACAATGATACGGATGTTGATGATATCATAACTGCTGGTGATATTGTTTCCGTTCCGTTTCGAAAACTGAGAGGAGGAAGCCAAAAGTGGCACTGTGCAATAGTTCTGTTCGAATTGAGTGGATTTTCGTAACTCGTAATTGATCGTTTCAAAGAATTGGTGTAAAACTATTGTATAGTCATTGTAAGATGCTGACTTGAGAATATGACTCATATCAGTGTAAACTAAGGTTGGAGTGAAGTAAAGCAATGCATAGATATTACAACGAACTAATAACAATTGAAACAACCACTGGAACAAAAGCAGAAACGATGCGAATTGATAAATGTGATATGAGAATGGTTCAAGTTACCGAAGTACAACACAAGAAGTCGTGAGTCAATCTGCTGCTACTGCTGCTCTGCTGATCAACAACCACTATTATTATAACATTGATCTATCCCCTTCAACACTATCGAAAGTATTTCTCTTCAATAAATTTTTTCCTTATTGTAAGCACCAATTCAACCTAACTTATTTCCTTTCAAATTACAATAACAATTACTGCGTCGTTCTACAATCCATTAAGAAACTGAACATCGTTAACATTGTAAAATATTTGAGTATTCATTTGAAGCGTTCTCATTAAAACGGTGATACGATCTCCTTATTCTGATACTCTACTGCTCTGATCGATTCGAAAACTGTTCGTTCGTTTCTTATTTATCACTCGTCAGCATTTGTGTTTCGCTTCAACAGATTATTGACATTATTTGATATATCCTCCCTCTATCGTCTTGCAATTTCTGTTCATCGTCAAAATTTATTGTCCGAACTGAATTTCTATTGCTCCTTTTGAGAATCTCAGAATCTGTCATGGTTATTACGAGCAGATCACATAATATGGAATGTTTTAGAAGAACAGATTGATAAGAGGCTTGCAAGCTTCATTTCACTTGTTATTCGAATATGACTGGTTATGCGCTTGAGTATTTCCGGCATTTTGTTGCTTAACATTGAAAGCACATTATAGAGTTAATTCACTGCCTCACATATAATCAGTCATCGCGTGTTCTTCCTTTATCCGTCAGAAGCTTGCAAACCCACCGGTTTGCATAGATTCATGGAGGAAATTGAATGTCTTCGAATAAACTTTCGTAAGATTGAAATCAGCGATAAGGCGGTTATGAACCAGTGCTTGCTGGAGCGAGGAAATGTGTTTCGTCAAAATATTTTCTCCGCAAAAATCATACTGTCTTAGTGGAGGAAACTGCTTTTTTGTTCGAATGAACATTTGGATACGTTACATTTTCGGGATGAAGTAAACTTTTTGGAAGAATGAAGGCGTTGAAGAGCGGCTTTCTGAATTTCTCGTCATGGAACGAAACGATATATATTGCGCAAAAGTTAACTTAAACTTTCTCAAACGATCCAAAATCTCTAAAGTGCTCCTCCCAATTGTTTTTATGTGTTTCATTCGGAAGCTATCGATTCTCTCTTGTTTCAACTATTTATTTATTTATGTAATTATTAACGCAAAAAAAATCTGTTGTCTAATTAATGCCATCACGATGAATTCACAAGAAAATCACGAGATCACCCAAGAATTCCATTTATTTGATCATAAAACACGATCACAAGATCAAGGTAGTTCATACAGACTTCGTACTGTTGTAATTTTTCATTGGGATAGCGTTAGGGTATGATATTGAATTATGATATTTTGGAGTTTTATGTTTAAATCTATACTCAGGCTAACAAACCATCACTTTAAAAAAATATATTCTTTAGATCGCTAATTGCGGTATCATCTAAAAGCAGTTCAGTATAAGCTGTTGTACGTGACTGCTAGTTGAAGAGGTGAGATGAGTTTAATTAATCGAACGATATTTCCACCTACCGAAACGACCTTTCGAATACCTTCACTAAAAACGCTAAATAATGAAGATTTATATCAAATTCTTTATC